GAGGCCCCTTAAAAAAAAATTTTTTCCCCCCCCCCTTTTTTTTTGCCCCCCCCCCCCCCCCTCCCTCGACACACACACAAGCTCAGGAAGATCCCTTATTGATTTTCACTGCTCACATATTTTTAGTGCAGAGGAAAGAAATTAACATTCCATGAAGTGCTAAACAAAACAGAAATGGGGGTCTCCCAATTGGATGCCTTCGTGCCACATAGCTTGAGATGTTACGTAAAGCTTAAGATCCATGTAGCGGTCAGGACCGATCCATCCATCAATGTCTGAAGTCACATGGGCAACAGGTGGAGGAGGGATGCTAAGGTGTCGCTCTCCCGAGCAACACTCACCAGCTGTTTCTGTGGGATCCCAAGGCATGCCCAGGCCAAAAGGGGCATACAGTCCTTTCAGCAGGTTCTGCCTCTGCCCAGGGGCTTCACCTGCTGGGGTCCAACCCCAAAACCTCAAACATCCAACCCCAAAACCTCCTCGGCTGACTCGAGCCGAGGACCGGCTGCTCTTCTTCAATCTCTGTATTAGGCAAACTCATTCTGGTTACTTGGCATTCTGCTTACCGCTCCAATGCAGGCTGAAAGCCATGCATGACTTGAAGATCCAGGCATAAATAAATCATCCGCAAACCATTGGGACGTGAGCCTGAGGTTCCCAGGCCAGACCGCCTTTTCAACTAATACCTCTTGAGGTCCTGCCCATGAAAACCACAAACAACATAAGCCACGTGCGGCAGATCTGGTTGAGTCTAACACCTCAGGGAACAAGAGCAACTTCATGCTAAGATGGTAGACGCTCCTTTTACTTTGAATTCATACAGCCAATATTATCAACCCCCAGTTCCCTCAAAAATATCTGAGGGGACACATTTGTGAGCTGCCTCCAGATGTTTAAAACACATGCAAACGTACTTGACCCCCTTCGGAAATGAACCCAAGGTTTCATAATCTGGAGGCCCCTCCGTTTTACTTCCATGGTTACAGTAAACTTTGGACTAAAAATCCAGGCTGATCCATCAATCAAAACTACCTAAATAATCTTTTATCATCCGTTTTCAAAAGTGTGAAGCGAAGGACGTATCGTTGATCTCTGTTTGTGTATTTGTTTTTTTGCAGGCTTGTCAGGGAACATCTCGGAGAGCAGGAAGTGGCGATTTCCTTGACTATTGAGTCTTTGGAGGAGGAGGATTTAGGAAATTATTCCTGTCACGTGGAAAATAGTCACGGCCATATCAACGCCACCATTCAGATCTTCAGGCGGGGTAAGAACTACTGGCTATTTCCCATTTTAAATTAAAAAACTAATATCTTTCTAATTTTTTTTCCCTCAAACAATTCTGCTTTTTTTTGCTCACAGTCTCACTGCACCAGATATTTTGCATCAACTCTCTTTAAGCTGAATCATAAATAAAATAATCAAAGGCGGCTGCATCATTTCATCAAACATTTTCTCCTTTTTTTTTTTTTTTTCCGTCGGTTTGTGTATATTTACCCAAACTTCATGATTGCGTTTGGTACTGTCTTATCTTCTGTGTTTGCACCAGCAGCTTTGTAGCTATTTTGGCTCTCTTGCATGACTTGTCTGAAGCTGTTTTCATGCTCTAGCTGTCACCCCACAAGAGAGGTAATTTGATGGCTGTTTAAACAGCAAATTGGTCTGCAGCTTTTCCCAACAGGCCAATACATCCAGCATACAATTACATTTTAAGTCTTTATACGTCTGATTCCCCGCTTTAATCTCTTTCTCTGTGATCATCCTTTGTAGACGGCCCAGTTTCGTTTGAGTGGTCTTTGCGGACCGCAGATGGCTTCGTTTAACTCTCTTTGCGAAAGGAGAGGGATGCAAAGTCGAGCTTTCTCCGTCTCTCTCATCCAGATCTTGATGTTTATTTCATGGTTGTTGTTTTTTTTTGTTGTTTTTTTGTTTTCTCAAAGAGCATATCACTTACAAGCCCTGCGGCAGGTCTAACGACACTGCGGGCTGCCTTTCCGTGTATCTCCAAAGGATTTGATGGCGAGTGTCGGTCAGTGGGACTTTAACAAATCCAGGAGAGAAGATAATTGGTGGTAATCAGCCAGATGTTTTACAATTATGGGAGAAGACAATGGAATGCACATTTGAACACATTTCCAACAACAATACTTTTGCTTTTCAAATGTAAAGTTCCAAGAAATATGGAAAATATCGTCACATAGAAGTAGCTAAATATACTTTCACTGGATTTACTTTTTAACCAAAGGAGTGTGTATAGGGCTGTTGAACACAATGGTGCACCTATTGCACCCATGGTAAATATGGGTAAGAAGCTTTTCACAGTATTGTGCAAATGTTTGGAAAATCTAATCTTTAATTTTAACAAAGTTTTTTCCGATACAAAATTGCTGGTTCTCCACTTATTAAATCACCTTTAATAAATATTTTTATTTTCAACTGGATCAGGGGGGGGAATATGACACGACTCCACGACTTTTCTTACTTTTCCACTCTTCAAAATGGAAAGCACAAGAGAATATGCCTTTAAAAAAAGGCAAATATTCATCTCAAAAAGTCAGGATGGAGCTCAAAGTAAACTTTTTATGTAATATCTATTTTGCGTTCAGAGCAGTAGTTTTTAAAAGGTACATAAACTCTTGTACTGCCTTTTTCCACAAACACCAGGTCAAACTGTGAGTCTGCTGAACTCATCATAGGAACTACTTCTCAGTCCAAAACTCCCACGAACGGATGTAAACAATAAAATAAAACGTTGCTGTGATGATGTGCTGAAAGCGGCGAGTCGGGAAGAGTAGGAGCTTCTTAAAGAGACAGAGGTCAATTTCAAAGCATCAAATTGCAGTTAAATTTCTTTTTTAGGTCATGTTTATACATACAACATTTTTATAACAACTTGAAGTAGCATACTTATTTGACTGTTTTAGAAAATGGCTCTATGTGCCTAGAAAATACATAACACTGCAGCTTCAAAGCAACTTTGTGACAAATAATGAGAATCCACATTTATTTTGACGCCATAGAAAGTGAGTAAAATGGTGAGCTTGCTTTTGGAGAACTTCCCTAAAAAGGTGCCTTATTAGAGTCACCAAGTCTCCATTACAATTAGACGTTTTCTACGTGCCAACTTGTCGTTTGGGTGCTAAACTAGAAAAAACCGATTCTCTGTCCAACATGACGAACATTTGGATTTTGCTCAAACTATTTGGACTTCAAGTGGAAATCTACGCTTCAGTCAGATCAGACTAAACACTTCAAGAGGGTCTAGCATGAAACAAACAATGAATCATTGGCAAACGACCCCACACCTTACGCCATTGAGGTTGGTAAAGATAAATATCTGATACTCTTTTGTTACCCAAAATCCTTGCAACCTGACCTTGGTGAAAGTGTTAAAATAAAAGGAATTTTTCATACAAAAATCTGTAAATCTCTTAGTAAACTGAAGATATAGCAAATAAATAGCAGATTGATGATCCAAAACATATGCCCAAAGCAACATGGAAATGGTTTATCACGTACAAAATCGACCGTCTGTTATTTTTGTGTCAGTCTCACAAATGCATCCTGCAGAACACCTGTGGGCTGAACATGTTATCAACAGCAGCGGTTTAATAAATCTGGCAGGAGACATTTTGTGTAAACCATTTGCTCATTCCCTTGCTGCAGAAATGAAGGAAACATAAAGGTGCGTTTTATTTTCAGTTTATCAGTGACATTTTGCCACAGCATTATTGGATGTATTTATTTTAAGGGTTGCAAGGGGTGCCAATAAGTGATTGATGCATGAAATTAATTGGTAAGACCTCGCTAACCACGTTTTTTATACTAATTTTAAGACTGGCAGAACTGTAAAATATAACGTATCTCAAATTAAAACATGGAATAATGAATGTATTTAAATTCTTGAAATAATATTGTCCAGATAAACGTTGGGTTTAGATGATTTTAAACAAAACGCAAACGCCTAACTGAGGGCAGACGAGATTTAACGTAAAATCTCTTTGCTTCGCAATGTTTCTATTGCAGCACGAGAAGATGTGTGTCTTTGCTCTGTCTGACAAAATAGAGAGAGCATTGCAGCTGGCATGGCAGCCACGCATTGTTAAAGCCCACAGTGTGACAGAGATAAAAGGTGAACGTGTTCTAGCTGAGCCAACCAGGTAAATGCTGCTTTAATACACATCATAACTCATCCCCAAGCCAGGTCTCGGGGGAGACATGGAGGCGATAATAGAGAAGAGAAATGAACTGAAAAGGGAAGGAAAAACGGCAGCAAACGCAGATGGAGAGGCGACTGACGGCAAGATGAGAAATCTGAAACCCGTTGTTTTGAAAATGCCGCCATCCATGTCCGGGATTGTTGCAGTCCCACTACGGATGATGGCAAGAGTGCAGAGCTGTGTCATTGCTGTGCCATGAAAAGGAAATGAAGCCCATTTCTCATTAGATTTTCTCTTTTTTTTTCTGCAATGTGCTCTCTCATTTTTCTCAAACTCGTTATGAGCCCTGTGTCTTTGAAGATTGATTCTGCTTTGTTCTGAGCTGAGCTCCGAATCTTCTGCGGCTTGTCCGGCTTTTTTGTGCCAAATGTAAATGTGCCCTCTAACCGCCTCGAATCCCCCGACTTCAACAGCTCAACACCGAACAAAAAGGGAGACGGGGCCCCGGCTCCAATTTGGTGCAGAGACGATACGCCAACACGCAAAACTGTGAAAGGAGCTGAAGCTGAGCCTGTGTCAGCAGTTTTTCCTCATATTTTCGGTCTGTGTTTCTTGTCCTCAGCAGAGCTCATGTACACGGTGGAGCTGGCAGGAGGGCTGGGAGCGATTCTGCTGCTTCTCATTTTCCTCATCTCCCTGCACAAATGCTACAAGATTGAGCTGATGCTCTTCTATAGGAGGCACTTCGGCAGCGAGGATGTGGATGGAGGTAAGGACAACCCAGCTCATCTGAAAAAACAAAACATCTGCTCAAGATTTCCCTTCATATATATATATATATATATATATATATATATATATATTTTTTATTCAGTTGTACTTGAACTGACTCCACGGCAGATTTTTTTAAATCCTTCCTCTACTTTTTCCTAAGTGGCCAGGGACTACTGCTACCACGGCTCCATTGGGGGAAAGACGGGGAAGGATTTTCAATTTGTTGCCCATTTAAAAATAGATCAGTCTCAATATGTCAGAGAAGGATCCTCGCGCCGCACCAACGAAGGCCATGTAGCACCACATGGGGACCGGACAGGCTAGAAACGACCTCCCTGAGTGACAAATAGGAGCCAGAACTGGCCCGAAATTGTGGAGCAGCGGCTTGTTTTCTTTGCACAACATAGTTAACTTTTCCTTCAGCGAAAGAGTTGTCTGTTTATGTCCCAGTATCTCTCCCTCTTTCTCTCTGTGTCCTTAAAAATTCTGGAAACAAGAAACTCGCTGCTTTTTTTTTGCCCCCTCCACATACATGAATTATCTATTACAGGCAGTTTTGTTGACTCAAACTTCTACATGATTAAGTCACACTGTCAGGGACAGCTGATACAAGCGGTTTTGATTCCTCCAGCTTTGCTCGGTGGTTAATTTGAGACGTCTGTTGCTAATTTGAAGGCAGTGTTTGAAGTTCGGATCCAATCGAGCGCGGGCCTGGCCCTTTCCAGGGAGTCTCAAAGCTGCGCCTGCTTCTCCAAAGAGTTTTTTTTTTTTTTTTTTTTTTTTTTAAAAAACCCCCCTTTCCTTTTTGGCTGTCCCACATTCACGTTCTACAGAGAATAATGACTAGCACTCACTGAACATGTCGCCACCACTGTGCTTCTTTTATTCTATTTTCTGCCTTTTCAGTTCTTCTCACTGTCTTCTGAGAAATCATTTTGAGGTGTGTAGCAGTGCATTGCTTGAGTCTTGATTTGGTCGTGTTTATATCTAACCCATTTTTGTTTTTTTTGTTTTTTTTTCCGAAGCGCACTTCATGGCCTAATGGATGTGACGCCACTGGGAATCAGTGTTTGTACTCCGTTGTTTACGACGAGCCCTTCTGTTCCAAATAAAACTGCTGAGCAGAAAATAGTTAGGTGTTATTTTGGAGAAGTGTCGCTCCAGTTCAAAATCCACTTAGTCCAGTGTGAGGAGACTTGACTTTACTATCAGAAAGTTTTAGCCTCACACACTTTAGTTAAAATTAAGATCACAAACCAGAAAATCTGTTGTGATTAAATGGATAACTTTTATTTAGAAAGTAAAATGCTTGCAGCTCATCCTGAACAGGACATGTTGCTGGAGCGAGATATTATATCTCATTCCTGGTTAAATAAAATAAAGTTGTTTGCTGACATTTCGACCACAGCTTTAAAGCAGAGTCAAACCTAAAAGAGTTTAAAAAAATAAATAAAATTGAAATCCCTCTTTGTGTGCTTTCAGATTTTCTAATTTGATAAACAGCGTTTTTGGGTTGTTTTTTTTTTTAAATGATTTTCTCTTCATTATTGAACTAATCAAAATCAGATTCATCAGTGTAGGTATTTTTTACACGGCACTAATTCACAGCAAATGAGACGCTTTATCAGAGAAACGTCTCTAAATTACATGCAGACGTACAGAATCAATTTCATCCAATCATGAAGTTGCGCAATCAGAGCGCAAATTCAGTTATTTGCGCTCTGATTTGATTAAAGTTAAATTAAATCTCAATGTAGACACCAGTGTTGTCAATACATCAACAGCAGCAGAACCTTAGTAATATAACTTGAAAAATGTTTTGTTTGTGTTCATAAGTGTTTATATACGAGTTCTTTGATCGGATGCAGGTGGATAAAAAAATAATAATAATTTAGCACATTTTTTTCTAACTCTTCCTTTCAATGAAAGCGATTAATAAGATGTTACTGCAAATAGGCTATTGCAAATAAAAAAAAATTAAATAATAGCCCAGAATTTACTGATACATTATTTTTACACTTAAGCAAAAACTTATACAAAATAAGGTCAACGCTTCACCTAAAAATACAGCAAACAAAAACTTCTCTACCATCAAATTCGACGCCAAGATTCACATCATAATCATCAAAAAAAAAAAAGACAAACTACATTTTGTGCATACATACAGCAACCTCCACTCCGTTTTTTTATTTTATTTTTTTACATATCTTTGAAAGTATTAATGTTTCAGACAACATTATGATTCACAGTAAGAGCAGGAAACAGGTGGAGGAGAGGCTTAAGAGATGGAGGTGTGCAGTGAAGTGAAGAGGAATTAAAGTCTGTAGAAGGATGGAAGATTATAATATTCTGGGCAAGAAAGGTGGAATGAAGCTGCAAGATGTAGGGATTAAATACTCGGGTTCAATCCTCCAAAGCCGCAGACACACGAGCGGCGTGAAAGAGACGAGTGTGTGGGCCGCTTGTGATGGAACGATAACTGCAAGTGAAAGGAACGGGTTGCAGCTTGGTAGTTGGATCTACTATGATGTACAATTCAGAGACAAAATGAATATGTAAGGGTGACGTCTCAAGACTGACAGACTTGGACGGCAAGGCAGAAAAGTGGGGAAAGGAGAGTCTATTCTGGAAGGAGGAGGGAAAACCCACAGTGGAGTTTTATGGATGGAGTGAGAAAAGAAAGTGGTGATTAAGATGAAATGAGATGAGACAGACGATGATGTCCTCTAAACATTTGTGACACTGATTAAGCGTTGAAGTAAATCAAAGAAAAATGCCACTTTTGCAGCTTCTCTACAGCCTGATTAGTTAAATATTAAGAATTTGATTGACAAGTTGGCTGAGATTTGAAAGTTTGCACCAAGTTACAGGTCATTAGTATTTCCATATGAAAAAAATTCACATTGTCAGTTTAACATGTATGCAGCAACATCTTTTCAAAGAATTAGCATAAGAACATATTCATACCAAACAGGATGTAAATACCAGCTGCTTAGGCGAGGACTTTGTAAGTGACCTGTTCCAATTTTATTCCTGGCATAATTTATTTCTTTTCATATTTTCTGATAAATGCAGTGGGGGGGGGAGCAATACCTCCATATTTGTGAGTCAGAATCAAGACGATCTTATATTTCGCTCTGTAGACAGCTGCAGCTTTGGCCTGTTTTAATGTGAAACTCCAATGAGATGAGCCAAAGCACTCAAACTCTGAGAAAGAACATGTCGGCAATTTAAACTATTCTAAAGGTCAGACATTTTTAATAAACGCATTCCCTCCAAATGTCTGCACGTTTCCACCGAATGCTTGTGAACGTTCGCGTTAAATGACTCCAACCGTGAGCTGTCTGCTCCACATTCTCCACAAATCGCTGTCTGTTTCTCTCGCTTTCTCAGAGAACAAAGACTACGATGCATATCTTTCATACACCAAAGTGGACCCTGACCAGTGGAGTCAGGAGACCAGGGAGGAGGAGCGCTTCGCCTTGGAAATACTGCCAGACGTGCTGGAAAAACATTACGGCTACAAGCTCTTCATCCCTGATCGAGACCTCATTCCAACAGGCAGTAAGCGCTCTGGCTGTGTGTGTGTGTGTGTGTGTGCGCGCTCACATGTTGACAGTGGGGTGAAAGCTTGCAGTTGCGTGTGCAGAACATTGGCTTTTGCTGCATATATGATGTTGTTGTTGTTTAGCACATTGCTTTGCGCTTTGTCTTGGTCTACGCTTGTTTTGTGCTCGTCTTCAATGTTCTTCACCGTCTCGTGTTGTGAGCTGTTAAGACAAATTTAAACTAAGCTGTCACAACCGCACCACTTAGCCGTAACATTATGACCACTCAGCATTTAAAGCTACCGTTTCCATTTGAGCAGAACCTCTAAAAATGTGCAGATATGTGACAACATTCTGCTACGAAGACCCAAATGTGGTGGATTGAGAGGACAACAAACTGACTGGAGGACTGACCCGATCCTCTGGTCTTTCACTCTTCATTTCCTTCTCCTGACTTTTCAGTTCATATTTGCTTCAAGTAGACAATAATGGTTTACTCTGGGTCACAAAACAGCACTGGTCAGATGCTCTCTGCCCAGACTGTAGGTTGCATAAATACCCACAAATATCTGCAGATCTTTTCCTGGTAACACACATAATACCTGAGTTAAAGAAAAACAAATCATTCAGACTCTCCTTGTGAATGAAATGGAGTTGCAAACTTTGGCTTACCCCTGTTTAGCAGATTAATATTTATTAATTCAGGTCCTGTTAACCCTTTAGAGAAGACCTACACTGTCAACTTTGGTCATTCGTGACCTTTAAACTACTGAGTAAGTCTTTACCACTACCGACTACATCTCATATTTTTTCCTAAACGGTGTTGATGAAGTTTCCAGTGTACGCTCTTCTAACACGTCTACTTACAGGTCAAAAACTTTTTTTTGTTTGTTTGTTTCCATGCTTGTCCTGCCCACAGCCAGATAATCAGTTTTAGCTGTTCAGTGGTCATAAGATTATGGCTAATCTCAGTTAATTGTACATTATTATTTCAAATATCTCAAATATTTAGTTCGAAACTCTCCGCAAGAATCTTTTTTTTTTTTTTTTTTTCTTGCATCGTACCAAATCTCTTTGGACTGAAGCTGTAGATCACAGCTCTCCTCCGTGGCTCTTCCCTAACCGGCTACTACTGAAGGGGGGAATACAGTATGCAGCGAGCACTCGACGCTGACATATTGAGCAAATTCATCGTCCCCTTTGGTTTCCATCCATGCAGCAATAAATCCAGGAAAATTCCGTGTGAACATACTCTCATGCCCGCCAACTCGTGCCTGCTTAGCAGTCCGTTTGTGCCAGTGGTACACAGTGTGCTCTACTTTGTAGCGATGCTGCGTGTTTGTACTGTGGGCTTCATGTGGAACAGATGAAACGCAAACACACGTCCTACTTGGTCCAGAAAGAATTAAACATCAGTGGGAAGTGTGGGGAGGCTCTGAGCCGCGCCGAGCCGGGGCCGCCTCTATCCTTTAATCAAAAGAAATTGCTTCCAGCATCAGAGCCAAACAGAATCGCTGCAGATGAATGTACAATCAGGGGGAAACATGCTATGTGATTAATTACATGTGAAGTAAAAAGATGGGCGTGAGGAAGCGCTGCTTACACTTTTTTGCAGCCGTGTTGAGCAGTGTTGTGTGTCTTGTGTCTGCATTGTGTACTGCCTGTGACCTGAATGTTAAAATGTCTATGTTTAGGTCTCACCAATGAGCATTACCAGGATGACACGCGACTTTTTGGAGGTACTCGCCCTCAATCTTTTCCTCTTGCATTTAGCTGCTTTCATTTACCCGCACCTTTGGATGCTGCGCTGCAATGCAACGTTAGACATTGATGCTAAATATAACACACCTGAAAAGGTTAATGTAACACATGTTATCCTATATTGTGTCAGTAAAAATATGTATTCTCTGTATACTCTATGGTCAAAAATGGTTTCATGTTTTTTTGTCCCTTTTGAGTCAACTGATGGTACTTACTACGGAAAGGTTCATTTGTTTCAGTAACTCTGTTAAAAAATGAAACTCATATGTTATATAGATTCACGACAGAGTGATATAACTGAGGAAACCCCCCCCCACAAAATTTATTTTCTCAAAACAGCAGAATAGTATATAAAATCAAAACAAAAACCAGTTTTAAAGCAGTCATGTCACGGCCACGTCAACATGTTAGGTTTTCCAGCAGATGGCCGCCGACACCCTGCACAAGGAGGCAAAGCTTCAAACAATAATTGCTGAACAAGCTCGATTTTTTTATTTATTTATTTATTTTTTAAACAGGAAAGCTGATTGGAAGGAAAAAAAAACGCATTGCACAAAAAGGTGCACAAACAACAGGGAAAACTCCAGCTTTCAGTGGATTATGAAGCAAAGCAAGACTTTAGGGGAGACTCGCACGTCTGCGATCTGCAGCTGGACTCAGAGCTTTAAAGAAAGAAAGCACACAGGCGTAACGCGGACGCCGCAGCTGTCGCAGTTCCTCGTGCGGAGTCGCTCCTGAACCAGAGCATCAGAGTCGCCGTGGCCTGAACTAAACGGAAACAGAACTGGGCCGTTGCATGTCATTTGTAAATCAAGATCCCAGGGTCCGGAGGACGAGCGGAGAGACTCAGAATCCGAGTCGCTCGCAGGTCCACAGCTGGTGGTGATTTGTGGAACTATGTCCTTTATCAGAGCAGCCATCTGTTAGGCAGTTTCAGAGCGATGTGTGCCTCCCCTCTGCTGACAAGCTTTATGGGAGAAGGTGATTTCATTTTCCAGCAGGACTTGGCACCTGTCCACACCGCCAAAAGTACCAATACTTGGTTTTATTACCATAGCTCTGTGCTTGATTGGCCAACAAATTTTCCCGACCTGAACCGCGTGAAGAATCTGTCAAATACCGTCGGGAGGAAGGTGAGAGACGAGCTGCTCTCGAAGGAACGTGGGCAGAAGCTGAATTTTACGTTTTTATTAGCCGTGAAATGCAATCATTAAGTAAAACTACATAAAAAAACAGACTTAAAATATAAGACTAATAAATAAACAGTACTATATGAGTTTTACTTGTTGAATTGAATTACTGAAAAAAATAAACTTTTTGTTTATATGCTGATTAACGGAGATGCACTCGTTACAAATCAAAATCCAAAAATCAGTCCTTCCTCAGTTTGTTTCCAATAAAACATGTAATTTGCACCAGTATTCAGCTCTGAACCTTTTGCATCTCACGTCTTCAATTAAAGCTCGCATGAGCCAAGCCGAGTTTAGCGCACATAACTAGATGGAAGTCAGGTTTCTAAAACAAACTCTGGCAGCTAAATGAGATTCTGAGAGTGAAAACTAAGCCATTAGATGGAGAGAAGTTCCATTAGGCTCGGGAGGCAGAATTATGTCCAAGACAAAACCTTTAGGAAGGATAATGTCGTTTAAAATGCCCGAAAGACTCACTCTTGGTAACATAAAAGACCTTTAGAAACGGCCGAGGGCTCCTCTACATTTGTCTGACCAGTCAAACTGAGCAGACGGGGGCGATGGGCTTCGTTCAGACCATTAACCAGCGAGCCAAACTTTGGAAAAGAGAAACGAAGGAGAAATGTAGTGACAGAACCGGCTTTACTACAGAACGTCTGTGCAGTTCTCACATGTGATCAGCCAATTAGAAAACCTAAACGGAAAACAAAAAAAGAAAAAGGAAATAATCTGTCCGTTTTTAATGAGTTGTGAATGAAATATCTGACACCATCCCTGCTGACGAGCGTGTCGGAGGTGTCGGGATATTTTTCAGCAGCGGCATCTGAGAGAGGAGTCGGAAGTCGTACAGGAAACTGGAAGAACCTTCACTGAAACTCAGCTGAAGTCCTGCACAGACCTAGTTGAAATCTAAATCTATAAATATTATAGGCGTCTCCTGTCAGACTCTGTGCCTTAATGTGCCTGAGCCTAAACATTTCTGCCAGGAAAACTGAAATAAACTTTCAGAGAAAATGTCTTAATTTTGAGAGATCATTCCTTGAAGACTGAAAGCGTCTACTGCTGGATTCGTCCCCTTTTTCACGTTTACATTACACTCATTTCAGCTTCAACTGAAACACATTTTCAGGGTGGAGTTAATTTACCTTTAGCGACAGTATTTAGTGCAAACTTTTATTTCTGATTTGTTTTCTTCTTGCCCACTCAGGGTCAACATTATACAGACACTCTCAAATATAAACATGCACCCATGTCAGTAGATATCCAAAAATCCTAAGACTTTTTAAGCATCTTGTGGCACATTAATTGGCTGCATATTTTTGTAACCTCTAAAAGCTCTGATATAACTCTCAATGACTGTTTTATGTGCTGTTCTTGGGCACAGGCCTGATTTTTAATTGTGTTCTGCTAATTTTCAAATGGTTTGCAGTCTGAGCCATCCAGACTACCGTATTCATTTCAGAGCCAGTGTTGATGGATGTTGTGGATCATCGTCCAGTCGTGCCCAAGTCTCGACCGTCTACCAGTTGGTTTGTGTGTGGATGTAGTTCTTCCTGATCTACTTTGAACCAGGCAGTGGAGCAGCCTTACAGCATCACGCTTTAATGTTTAAGCTGTCACTGCCTGAACATATTTAATTGTTTTTGTCAAAGCTGTCACATTGATTTTTTTTTTTTATTTGAATATGGCACATACTATTGATATAAAATGAGATATGTAGTTTCCAAATTGGGGTTAGGACGGCATATTTTGGCAGAATTTTGACCACCAGATGTTCTTCAAAAATAATCCTTGGTATGTGTTGAATGTGTATCAAAAGGGAATTAGTGGTGCGCGATACGTCCCACTAAACAAGGCGGTGTGTCCGTTTTACCTCAAACAACTCATGTTTGAGGTGACAATAATCCTCAAGGGTTTTACAGATGATTTAGTTTTCTTAACTTTGAAACCCGTCTTGACTTTTCCAGTCTCTGTTTCTGATTTCATTGATAAGGCAGACTTACACTCGGGTTTTCAAATAATGTGTCAAAAGCCCACACCTCATCCTGAATTAAATGTTATGGGCTTTATATGCCTAAAAGCTCAGCCTGTGCCAGAAAAACAAACCAGATAACATAAACAACCGATTCTATCAAGAAGATTGATGAAAAGTTCAACCACAATTGTGCTGTAAGCTCCTTAATAGTTTCAAAAAGTGAGTGATCAGGGTGCAATTTGAAAAGGTTCATTAACCAAATATAAGTGGAGGGTTTTTTTTATCTATACATTTGAGCCAGTCTGTATAATTTTAAGCCTTTGTGGATGAGATAAAAACTTAACTTTTGCACCATAAGAAAATCTTTTTGAAAAAATGTTTTGGAGATTCATGTGTGTTGCTTGTTTGTCAGTCTAATAGTAGGAATTGGAGTAAAGATTAAATTAGACTGAACAGGCAAAACGGGTCAGCTGTCATCGTCTCGTCTTTGTTGTATGTTCACCCATCACTAAGTTATGCGGTTCTGGACTCTAGATTTGAAAGGATGAACTCTTAAAGCATCTTTTCTTTTCTTTGAAATTTCTGCTCTCACTCGCCTTTCCCTCTTGTTCCATGCAGCGTACATAGAGGATGTTGCGCGTTGCGTAGACCAGAGCAAGCGCCTCATTATAGTCATGACGCCCAACTACGTGGTGCGGCGAGGCTGGAGCATCTTCGAGCTGGAGACTCGACTGCGCAACATGCTGGTGAGCGGCGAGATCAAAGTCATCCTGATCGAGTGCGCCGAGCTGCGCGGCATCATGAACTACCAGGAGGTGGAGGCCCTCAAACACACCATCAAAACCCTCACCGTCATCAAGTGGCGGGGCCCCAAAAGCAACAAGCTCAACTCAAAGTTCTGGAAGCAGCTGCAGTACGAGATGCCCTTCAGGCGCACGGAGCCCATGCTCACGCACGAGCCGGCGCTGGACGTCAGCGAGCAGGGTCCCTTCGGGGAGCTGCAGACCGTCTCGGCCATCTCCATGGCGGCGGCCACTTCCACGGCCATGGCCACCGCCCATCCGGAGCTGCGCTCCTCGTTCCACAACACCTACCACACCACCATGAGGCAGAAACACTACTACCGCAGCTACGAGTACGACATACCCCCGGGGGGCACCCTGCCAGCTCTCTCGACTCTGGGGAACCAGCACACCTACTGCAACATCCCGTTGACACTGCTGAACGGGCAGAGGCCTCCGGGGAAGAGCCGAGAGCACAGCCTGGAAGAGGCTCACGCCAACAACGCCATGCTCCCGCTGCTGCCGAGAGAAACCAGCATCTCCAGTGTCATCTGGTAGTGACGAGCGGTCTCGACGTCGGCCTCGGGAAGAACTGAGGTCAGGGTCGGAGACGACGAGAACCAAAAGGAGAAGTCGGATCTGTTCGGGTCCGTGCGTCGCCGCTTGATGGGGAAACGCAGGAGGTTGTGAGGGGGATGGTTTCTCCCCTCCCCGTGTTTGAAGAGGACCGGTCTCTTCTAACGAGCGATTTTATTTTCTATGTGGAACTAAAGAAAACATTTTAAAAAAAATATTTTTTTTTTTTTTTTTTTTTTCTAAACGGACAAATAATGTGCAGGAACTCTGCTTTAAGGAAGACAAAACACAATTCCAACATCCTCACAAAAAGAAATGTGCATACATACAAACAAAAACAAAAGGAAAACAGGGTCTGTACATATATTTGCATTTTATTAGTAGCATCAGTGTTTTCCTGTTTTGTTCTTTAGTCTGTTTAATTCAATCATGTCTGTTGCCTTCTCTACTGTAGGACTTTGCTTTAAAAATGTTACACAAAGTTGTATATTTTTTACTCTTTTCAGTTGTTGTTTTTTTTTATATCTTTAACACGCTTGATTGGAAAGCCAGTATGTCACGTACTTGCGCTGTTGTGTTCTTTCTATTTGTTTTATCTTGTTTGTTTGTTTGTTTTTGAATCATTCTGTAGTTTAAGCAAACTTTTTTTTATGAAAGGGGAAAAAAAAAAAACTTTTTGAAAGACCTGGACATCTTCAGGAGATGTGAAGAGCTGAAACCTGTTTTGTTTTTTTTTTGTTTGCCTGTACAAGGTGTATCTATTTTAAAACAGAACTCCTTTGGGGGGGAAAAAAAAAAAAAAAAATCATAGAATATGCAAAAAGACTGAGGAGCTGGCTAGAAACATCCGGCCGCGTGGGGCACAGATGACGGAAGAGGTCGGAGAGAAGCGCCGGTCCCCTCCAATCAGACCGACGGACTGGCAGATCTCTTTCTGACGCTTCGGCGGGTTTTTTTTTCTTTTTTTTTTTTTTCTATCGAAACAAACAGCCTGGCTGTTTTAGACTGATAGAGATATGCCTCACCTTAAAAAGAAAATCTGTAGATTATTTTAAAAAAAAAAAAAAAAAGAAAAGAATTCTATTTTTATAACAGAAAAGAGTTTGCTTGAGAGGTCATACTTATTTGCATTTCACCATCTTCCATGTAGAAAGGGGATCGACGTCTCGGCGTTCTGTTGGTTTCGTACTCTTGTGAAAGTGGTTTCCGACTCGCCGAGAGATGAGGCCGGTGTTCTTGAATCCCACCCGACGAATACGCCCTCTTACTACTCCAGGTTCTAAAGAAACGAGAAAAAAAAGAGAAAAAAACATTTCCAAATGTTTTCGTTTTTGATGCATCGTTTTATTGCCATCTTGGAAAAATTCAGGTTTATTTGGTTCATAGAGATAGTTCACGTTTTAATGAGAGGAAAAAGAAACCAGGTGTGTTTTGAAAGACTTTTTAAATATATTTGAAGGTGTGATTTTTAAGTATGCATAGCAAATAGATATGTATTCTATATATAATATAGATATTTATATAAATATATAAACACAATTTTCACTTGGAAAGAAATGTCTATCTTTATAGAAACACAATCATTATCAGTTGCCCTTACTTTCTCACTGCACATTAAAAGCATTGATTTCCTTTGGATGGTTTCCTTTTGTGTTCAGCTTTAGCTAATTGTTGCCAATAATTCATAACGCCTATAATACCCCATTTTACAAACCTCACAGACGGCGTAAACGTTTTTCCTATAACTTGCTTTCACTTGCTGCGAGCATAGCTGCATTTAAATCAGTGAGGCTGCAGGAAAATGTGCCACATGGATTTGTCATTTCACATCTGTTCCTTCAACTGATCACTTGGCGATTGACGCATCCAACTCAGTATACAAACCAAACATAAGGTCTATACATGTGAGGCAAGGACAAAAAAGGCTTTTTCAAAACTGCAGCTTGTAGACTAACAAAATGGTCTCTGTGCTGATATTTTCCTAAGCCACGATGAGATGCATTAAAATCAGGGATATCATGACCAGAACCATTTGATATTTAGTTATTCAGGCTTTATTGTGAGAGACTGTATTTGCTGTTGCTCCCCGTCTTTGTGTGTTATGTGACATGCTCTCTGCTGCGGAGGAAGGAGAGATGTTCAGAGAGCAGCCAACACATTAGTCACATGAAGTAAATTCTTTAAGAAACATTTATGAAGCAGAAAAACACTATTCTTTACACTATTAATTGTAGCTGCACTGAGATATGCTACAAGCTAAATTACAGGATCGTCACAACATGCTAACGCTAGCTCTAGAAAAATGTTAAGTCTTACCATATTTTCCGCACTATAAGGCGCACCTTCAATGAATGGCCTATTTTAAAACTTTTTTCATATATAAGGCACACCGCATTATAAGGCGCATAGAATAGACGCTACAGTAGAGGCTGGAGTTACGTTATGCATCCACTAGATGGGGCTGCACTAAAGGGAATGTCAACAAACCCGTCCGCCTCCGGTCGGCGAGGAGAGCCTTCCGCGACTGGGCCGGGGCGTGGCCGGACGATGGTCACCTTTCTCAGTTCGCGCACAGCGTGTTTGTGGAGAACGTGGCGCTAAATGACCTGCAGACGACCTGATTCTAGACGGTTGGTAGGTAGATAGGTCAGTCAAACTTTATTAATAAATTACAAACCAGCGTTCTGACAACTATCCCAGCATGCACCGCACGCTTCTTCTTCGGGCGAAAATTAAGTCGGCGGCTGCTTACTGTAGTTGCTAGACCTGTTGTGGCTCAATATTGGTCCATATATAAGGCGCACCGGATTATAAGGCGCACTGTCGGCTTTTGAGGAAATTCAAGGTTTTTAGGTGCGCCTTATAGTGCAGAAGATACAGTACATATTTTTCCCAATGTTATGTTCACACACAATTCCCTGAAACCAAACAAAATAATTTTACAAGGCAAGTTATCAATGTTGGATAAAAACAGAGTTAAAACATTAGCTTAGTGTTAAGCTAGCTGAAAACATTTGTCATCAGAGGAAAAGCAGGAGCTTAATCAAGTCGGATGTCTTTAGAAGGAAGTGACAAAGCTACAAAGATGTAGCTTTATCACACATTTGTGACGATGTTTACAGAACATTGTAATAGCTTTCCTTAACTCTTTGTTGAAGCAACATAGTAAGAGTGTCCTGCAAAAACTCCTTCTGGGACAAAATATCTTTCACTATCAAGACAAGCTGGAGATACTAGAGCATCCTAAACCTCAACAGTGAGTGGTTTAAGTGAGACATGAACACAGTTTTAACCTGAACCATGTAATGCTGATGAAATCTAGTGGATTATTTTACTGCACCTTTGTGGAGTTGTAACGCAGAGCATCAGGCGTGACTTGAATTTTTATCGATTAAAAAAAGAAAGAAGTAAATCCTGATCTGGAAATCCCTCATAAAACATAATTGAATTATATCTCTGAACTAGTTTTTGATCTGCTCTACTGCAGTTTGGTTCAAGGTCACTGTAATGTCTGACCTGCTCTCCTGACAGGTTTGAGTCTCCCCCCCCCCCCCCCCCCCCCCCCCCCCCCCCCCCCCCCCGTCCTTCCCCTTCCCCCCCTTCCCACCTACAC